TGTCAGTGGCGTTCGCGCTGTCACTTTCTTTCCAGATTGTCTGATTGAGCGGTTGGAGGTGTAGGCACCTCAGTATGCTTGACATAGGCCAGCACTAGGTCCCCTCTCTCACCCACTCTTTTTCTCTTCTCTGTAGGGATTTTAATGCAATTATATATATATATAACTAGACAAACCTTATGGTTGTACGGCAGTGAAGCATCAGTGCCAACACTGATGTTGCTGTCTTTGATGATGACGATGATGCTAAGTTTTAATCGCCTGTTCGTTCGGCTCAATGCCCCTCGCAGTTTGTGGCTGATTATAAAGGCCAGGGTACGATAAACTTACGACTACAGCAATTCGACTTCAAGGAGTTTGAGATGCATGAATGACAGAAAACACTGTCAGAAATCACTGACCATTGCTTGCAACTCCGCTGCCAATTAACCGATCCCTTGAAATATTTTCCACTGAATGGTTGAGGAGATGTTAGATGGCTTTTCAGCCGGTCGGTAAACTTACGACTACAGCAATTCGACTTCAAGGAGTTTGAGATGCATGAATGACAGAAAACACTGTCAGAAATCACTGACCATTGCTTGCAACTCCGCTGCCAATTAACCGATCCCTTGAAATATTTTCCACTGAATGGTTGAGGAGATGTTAGATGGCTTTTCAGCCGGTAGTTATTCTAATAGGGAAATAACCTTTTTATGTTGTGTTAGTCACCAAATAGCTTATCCGTCAGTCTTTTATTGAGTTGTTGACGGAATCTAGGGTTACCAGCCTTGACTGTTAGCTCGTTCTTATCCTGTGCTGCATTTTCGATTGCTCTACCATCTTAACTTCCTTCTATCTAGGAGCTTTTGGTTGCGTACGACGACGTCGCCAACCGTCGTTACGTGACAGAAGTTTTCGACCTGACTCCCATCTATACAGAACCGGAAAATCCTCGTTCCACCAAAGTGGCATCATCGTCCAAACGGAATCCACCAGTTCCGCAGCCTGAGGAAATGCCAGATGATAGTCTGGTCGAGGTAACCGCGATTTCGGAGGATGCAGCTCCATTGAGCACTGGTCCATCGCTCAATTCCCGAAATAAAAAATCGAACAGTGACGATCTTGCCGAACAGCCTTCTCATTCAAAAAAAAGAGGAAGCGTGTCGAAGCTGGTGGATCACTTTGAGAAGTCTCGTGATCCGGACATGATTAAAAACCAAACTCCCACAAATCCGCCGCCATCTAAGGTTTGTTTTAGTTGGTCCTGACTTCGGAACACGAGTTTTCTTAGTACGGTACGCACACAAACACTCGGAATTTCCCGTCAGCTCTGTGACTTGTCTATTCGTTGTGTTGTAGCTACGGCGATGCCATTTGGTAGTTTTTATGCACAACCTTCGTACATTACTTCACTTACCGTACAGACGGAACCGCCCCAGACTGCAATACATGCACAATGGAATTGACCAATCAAACTCAAAAGAAGTTTTTTCATTATGAGCGTTACTCCGCAACAATCAATGTTTTTTATTGAATGTTTGATTTGCAAATTATTGCCTCGTTATCGAAGAGTAAGGAAGGTGTTCCTCGTGAACGATAATCCTTCTACTATCCGTTTACTGAGTCTTCGTTCGAGGTAGTCCTTTCCACAAACCGTGATTTCTTCAACGTATCCTAATTTACAGCTGATCAGTTTGCAGTTTTATTGAGACCACGCATGCCGGATAACTCCAAAGCAGCGTAAAACAGTCGTGCATGGAACTGGCGAACCCTACCGCGCATTGTGCTCCCATTGAAAATGTTTGAATGATGTGTAAAATGATCGTCAAAGACTAAATGGAGTCTTGCATTTGTGTGACTCAACACGCTTCCATTTATTACTCATTATTATCACTCAATCAAAGTCTTTACTCTTTTAACGAAATGTTTTCTACTTCCAATCAACAATGGTTAGTTTAGGCGACACCTATTACCGCGGCCTCGTAAAGACCAAAGTGTCACTGCTGTATGGAACCAGAGAAACTGTGTGTGTGTTTGTGTGTGAGGGGTAGCGGACGAGAGAGACATTGCCTTTTTGTGCAGAGAATATCTTGGGCGTTTTGCCGCCCACAGTATTGGGAAGATTTGAGTATTAAACCGGTTGGGTCGCACCAACACGCGCTGCCTAGTTTTCGAAATAAATTCCTTCCTAAGGACAGACCAACTAGTTACACTTCATATAGTATCTTGTTTAGGCCGAGTATTTCGCATGTGAAGGGACCCTCTGTCCTGAAGATCCGTTTCATCCCAATTCAAACAAACCACAGTTGGCGTGTTCGTGCCTTGGAGACGAAGTAGGATTTCTCTGACTAGCAAACTCTGTCGCGCTGGTAACTGCCCCTTCACCGAATACCGATATCACAACTGCACACGATCTGTTGGATCCAGTTACCCAGCCAATGGCAGTCGTAAAATCTTCCTTAGGCTTCGAATACTATTTCGAACCCCGTTTCGACAAAGCAGTGAAAACTTTCGGTGAATTGTTTGGACCATTTTATTTCCCGCCTGAATTTCTGCTTACCCTTGCAGTTTTCAAACAATGAGACCGTAACTGACTCGGAGCGTTTCATCTTTTGTGCATGATCTTTTGCCGAAGAATAGACCTGAACTGAAAATCCTCATTGTTGTCCTCGAAACTTGAATCGGAGTGGTGGATGCCGTTCCACTAACTGTCTGCCTATGGTACCTGTTCATTTGCTTGTTCCGCGAACGCATATCACCGTCCCCTAACAACAGACATTAGGATATGGAACTACACTGCATTTCAAATGCCACCTGTAGCTTGAAGTGTATCTCGAAAACATTTTTCCATCTATTTAACTTAGTCGTACTCAACTGATCATACTTTGAACATTGGGATTCATCTACCTCTACAGGTTATTTGCTTTCATGGTGAGAGTGGTTTATTTCTCATAGTATACTGTGCAGTGCAAAAGTCAAGACTTCATGCGATAGATTTTTGAATATCCAATTACATAACCTTTAATTGCGAAATAGAGAAATAATGTCCATCAACTTGAGACCAGTGCAACCGAACTTCATGAATCTGACTGCAGTCCCCTACACTTTTATCCTAACTAGTCTTCTAAGTCAGCCAACTCTAGTCCGTCTGCCACCAAAACAGACTCGGTTCGTCACCAGCAGTCCAAATCACAACTGTTTGTGAAAACCGGTGTACTGCGTAGTGACCACCTCACGTTTCAGTTGGACAGATACCGAAGAACTCGAACTATTTTCCATGATTCGCTATTACCCGAATAGCCCACTGCCGATTTCATCTCATCAGATTGGACTAGACTCAGATCAACAAACTGAATGTGTGTGGGGATGAACGCTTGCGAATTAAGCTAGTGTCAATAGAAGAATCAACGACAATTGAACCAAATCGACACACAATTTTGCTTTGGTATTTGAGTTGGAAATAAAATGCATGAAAATTTGCGGACTTGGTGGTGAGCCCTAAGATGGTCGCTACGCGGCATTGGGACTTCAACGTAGAGACTCGAATAATTGTGGGTTAGTTGTCATGTTAGATGTCTGCAATGGGAACCTACCGGAATATCCAGGCCTCTGGTGCTTTTCAGATCAGAATGTTTGTTCTTAGCCCTTTCTACGACGTTGCATATTATCCCTAAAATGGCACAAAAGTTCGGTGATGCGCTCGATTTTCGGATGTGTAGGTCATATTCGAAGTAGTGGCTATAGTATTTGTCGGAACTGAATTCGTCGCGTCGACCTGCGCACAACCGACACCGCACAATTTCGGTTTCCTGCACGCATAATTTTCGTTTAGCTTGTTGGTCTACGACAGTGAACAGCCGTTTGTGCACAAACTATTCCGTTCTTTCACCTCCCGGCTTGGGTGTCATGTATGCGTTGCACAAAAGTCATCCTACAGCGCATACTGTCCTGAGACATTCGTCTTTAGCAACACTAATCATACCACCTGTTTGTTAGCTTCATTTTTTATGGCGAGCGGTTTGTGATTTACAGCTAGTGGGAGAAAGTTACATGATTTTGTTTATCACGTACATTTCTGTTGCCCTTAATGTCACAATTTCTTGGCTCGTGGATTGCGTTTTTTGCAAATACTAGTGTATTTGGTCGTCCTTTCCTTGCAGTCTCGAACTCCACCTGTGGGTGACGAGTCTTGGGGTAGCGTTACCTCACTAACTGCGGCACACAGACCAAAGACGAATAAACCTTTGACTGTGAATGAGGCGGTTCCACGTCAACAACGTGGCCCAGAACTCAAGGTCACTCTCGGTTTCCTGCACGCATAATTTAGTTTCGTTTAGCTTGTTGGTCTACGACAGTGAACAGCCGTTTGTGCACAAACTATTCCGTTCTTTCACCTCCCGGCTTGGGTGTCATGTATGCGTTGCACAAAAGTCATCCTACAGCGCATACTGTCCTGAGACATTCGTCTTTAGCAACACTAATCATACCACCTGTTTGTTAGCTTCATTTTTTATGGCGAGCGGTTTGTGATTTACAGCTAGTGGGAGAAAGTTACATGATTTTGTTTATCACGTACATTTCTGTTGCCCTTAATGTCACAATTTCTTGGCTCGTGGATTGCGTTTTTTGCAAATACTAGTGTATTTGGTCGTCCTTTCCTTGCAGTCTCGAACTCCACCTGTGGGTGACGAGTCTTGGGGTAGCGTTACCTCACTAACTGCGGCACACAGACCAAAGACGAATAAACCTTTGACTGTGAATGAGGCGGTTCCACGTCAACAACGTGGCCCAGAACTCAAGGTCACTCCTCCTTCAGCGTCTTCCGCATCACCCTCCAAACCCTCACTGTCTCCGCTGAGTCCAAGTCCCCAGGCCACCAGACGAACAAGAGTTCCTGGAGGTTCGCCAGCAAGCAGAAGGATTCCCGTAAGCAGTGAATCACCTACCGGCGACGAACCAAGACTAAATAAACCTTCCAAAACAACTCTTCCACGTTCCCCGGACTCTTTTCATTCAGCTAGCTTGCCAGACCGCTCCAAGAGACACTCAGCATCCAATAAAGGATCGGCTCCGGAGTCCAAAGGGACGCTCAGTTTGAACCGTCGCCTCTCAAACAGATCTTCCAGGCGAAATCACATGGCCTCGACTATAGATAACACACCTCCACAACCCGGTCAAACTCGAAAAGTACAGTTACGACGCGATCGTCCCGGTGAATCGATTGGAATCACGGTTGCAGTACGCACACCCTCGCCCCCTCCCTCTCCCACCACCCAACTCCGCACGGCAAAGTCTACCGAAGGTAAACCATTACTGGCAATACAGCGAGTGCTGGCAGGTTCTCTGGCTGACAGAAATGGTGAGTACATTGTTCACCTAGTCGATCCTACTGTACCTCTTGCTGTATCCTGGATAAAGCAGTGATTCTTGACCTGTCTCATGTCGCCTGTTCTGTAATAGCCAAGTGGCCGGCGACCCCATGCCTCGGCTGCACTCGCTGTGTGTGCACTCACTGTGTGTATGGAAATATGGATTTCCTATGCCGCCACTGTATTAATCCTCCTCCTACATGGCAACCAAACTTTTGCGATGTTATTGAGGACGAGCAGGTTGTTTCCTTATTTAGACTACTCCATATCTCGTTCAGATATTGAGACACGTGATCTGGTTTTTGCTGTGTCATTTGCTGGTAGTGTGCATTGGCAAGTGTCAAAACCTAAATGGGTACAGGGATACTAACACCAGTATTCGAGTAGACATAACGTAATGCATACTTTTGCTTTTTAAATCTATCCGTTTCACGCTGCATGGTGGTGCCATCAGTCCGTGCATTCAAAGTATCGATTATATTCATCAGTGTGCTAAACACCTTTTGGTCAGAATGCGTTTGATTTAATCGCCAGAAGGAACAATCACCAGTCATTCGCTATCATAGCCTTGTCATACCTTCTGTGTGTGTGTTCTCCGTCAAATTCAGCAGCTTTGCTAACAATTCTACCGAACCAGAACTTGATTGCTTAAAGGCATTCTTCGTCGATGACCCGAAAAGGGCTATTTCAAGAAATACACTCATTTGCAAATCAATTTGGCTTTCACGAGAGACTGAACTGAATCTTTCGTTTATAATATTCTACAACTGAATGTGCTGCACACAGGCTACCTCATGTTTCAGTTGGCACGATATTCGAGATATCGCAGAATATCATAAACGAGAGATTCAGTTGAGTCTCGTGAAAACCAGATTGATTTGCAAATAAGTGTATTTCTCGAAAACAGTCCAATTTGGGTTCAAGTAGGACATAAGGTTGACGGAGACTCGGGGACTGCGCCTACCTGATGAGCCCAAAGTGGAAGGGCGAAACCGGTCGTGGGCTGTCGAAGAGTTTTCAGCAACCTTGTGAGTAGTTTCCTTTATGGCTATGTCAAGAGTTTGTGCCATCTTGTCGCCATGGGACGGTTGGATTGGAGAAAGCAGATTTGCAGTCACCATTTAAAGAACCGGATCGGGTCTCATGAGAACCCGTCGTTTTAGCAAGATGACGAACGGTTGTATACTTCATGTGCTTAACTTGGGTTTTGCTGTGATTCGAGCCTATAAGCATCAGTTTAATTAAATGGTGCTGTATCATTCCGTCTGCACGATTGACCCAGTGCAACATCATGCAGATATTCTCCGGAACCACTCCACCATCATAATATATCGTCAGGGTTGTGGTGGACAAATTGATGCTATCCTAGTATACGTATATTCCATAGTATGATAATGTAGAACAGTTACTGGTGAGATTGTGCTCACACACTTGACAGTCGGGAGGGATTCGATGGACCCCCTTAAGTTTCTGTTTCACTCCTATTTTTGCTTTGTCTACTTCCACCGTTCTGCTCAAAAGCCGTTTTAGAACTAGTGCCTATATTTCCCCCTTTTCAGCCAGATCAACGAAGGCGTTTGTATGCATTTTCAGCCTCGTCTCAGTCGACCTGGGTGCTTACTAAGAGATCGCATCTTTCTATTTCACACAGTCTTTGAGGCTGTGCGTGATACAGTTTGGAGTCACCTCGGAACACACAAAGACGGTTCACACACTATTTCTGTCGACAACCAGCCCGAAACGAAGAAACAACTAAGTAATCGGCATTCTTCTTCTCCTTAAGGCAAACATTTGTTGAGGAATGCGGATTAGATGTAATTCAGAATTTCGTTGACAGGCACGAGTAACCCGTGCAAATGAGGAAAGACTCTCTGATTGGCATGAGGTGCCAGAGAATCCTTCATCAATCAAAACGTTATCCAATTGCCACCAATTTTGTCCTCACAAATTTACTTCACGTCATTTTGATAGCTTTTTCATTATTTAGAATATAAGGCAGTGACACAATCGCCATAACCACCGGGTTAGGCGCTGGGTAGGTACAGTCAGTTTTATGTCAAACGATGTACCTTTATCTACTTCAGTTGTTTTTATCAGACCCTGTTGTTGCACCGCTAATTCTATCTGTTTGTGGTTTATCGCTGTCGTTTGGCTTTGACTGCGCCTCACATTTTTCAACCGCCCCACAGCAATATCATCACCCACTTTAACCTGAAATAAGCGAACACTTACTGATTTTGCGGCACTTTGGCTGCTAACACTTTATCCTTGGAACTTACAAGGATTCCCTGTTAATAAACAGCTTTTCATGCATGAACCCCGCTTGCAATCTCACACAATTACCGAGAAGCATTACACAACGGCGTCGAATAACTAACAGAGCGAAACGTGAAGACGTCTCCGTACATTTTGTTAGCTCAGGTGGCTGAGTCGGGCATGGGTAGGGTGCGCACAAGGCTGAGAAGTTCTAAGGCTGTCGGAAAGTACAATGGATGCTCTTTGCTTATCAGTAGAGAACGCCAAAAGTCCGAATCCAGGAAAGCCACCTCAGATACTTTCGTAGATGTAACTGCTCAGTCTCTAAGGGGAATGGGTATACGTAATCTCAACTTGCTTATTCTGCTACTAGAACACACTGTGTTAACCGGTCACTTATCGATTCAGCACATTACTGCAGTGACATCGGATGCAACTAGTTCCTTTGCTTGGTCTAACCGCTCTGGGAATTTGTCATACATGGATCAAGTCTCCGGCTACCCTATGTGCTTAAGTATCACGCTGGATGGCGTCGTTTCATGTGCCTGTCACCATTTCAGCATAGTACTTCACAAGAAGCGTGCGAGACGACGCTTGTTGTTAAGTCCTCTCACGGAAAAGCAACCCAGATTGTAGACATTTTGAGTTGTGCAGGTCTACTGTACAGGGTATTACACAATTTCGTTCATAGTCACACCACTCTCGTTTGAACGGTCGTCCTCCTGTTCCTGCATAATTATTCCGGTAAGTCCACACCAAAGGAAAGCACTGGACCCGAATCTCGCTCTTATTAGAGCTCGTCAACAGTGCATATCCAATGGCCGTGTCGGAATTTGAACCCCGGACCTGTGACATGCGAAGCGAGAGTGTAACCACTACTCCACTAACGCACGTTGGACGCATCTGAATTTTCACGTCTGAACACAATTCTCCAATACCATTTCATGGAGCAGACCTGGATGCCTCCCTCCAACGACATAGTGTGGTCTCAACATATGGCATCTTTAGCTCAGCTTGATAATATAAGGTAGCATTTCACCGCTGACAATCAGTTTATAATGCTATCGAGTTAGTAATCTGTGTACACTACGATGGATTACACAACCCAATCAACTGTGTTCGTTTTTCTAACGCGCAATCTATCTAATGTGATTCTGTGCACTTGATTGTGGGTTTGGTTTGACAACCACATAATCCTGTGCATAGTTTGACCAAATATTTGATACAGTTTGGTACGGTTTGTCATCCAAGTCAAGTAAATAAGTTTGGATTTCATCACTTGTCTATGCTCGAGTTTGCTCTCAAAAGTAGGACAAACTCCACGAACTTATTGTTAGTTTTGATGACAGGAAATCCAAATCAAGTCACGATTTCAAGGTAACACGCAACTGGTGGGGGAAGTTTGATCAGTATATCGAAGGACATACCAACCAGTCCACCTACCCTTCCTGGTGTCTGTTCGGTTAAACCCACTAAGAAGCCATAACCAACCTAACACCTGTGTCTAACACAAGCTTTTGATTGAATGAGTCTCACCCTTAGCATGCTGTGTCGAACAGGACGGACCGGGTATAAAAAATTTGGTCGTCGATGGAACAACTGCTCATGCAGGACTGATACGTTTTTCCCGTTTCTTGGGTTCTTCTGCTGTTTAAACACAATGAATCGGTTTAATTCACATTGAGGGAGCAAGCATCTGATATGAAGCCTTGAGCAAACTAATGACATTTCAGAGTACGAGAATGTTCGACTTTGGGGGGCCATCCGACGTGCGCTGTTTGAGTTGTGGTACTACGCTTACCTCTCATTATAGGGGTTCGGAGTTGAAATCCCGACTTTTTCAAACAAATGCACTGCTAGTGGTACTGAAGCTCGGGTTCGATACATCTCCTTTCGGTGTGAATTAACCAGACTAATCAAGTCTGGAGAAACTATTCGAATGAGAGTAGCGTGGAAGTATATTTTGCTAAACCGCGCTGCCATTTACAAGGACTCTTGAATTTTCCACTTTATTATTAGTATTATTATTATCTATTATTTTGAGATGTAAAAACTTCTCCCGATCGACTCTGTTTGTGTATCTGTTGTGGCCATCATTTTTAATCTTCCAGCGATTATTCTCGTCAGAACTGGAAGCCGCTAGCTCAGCCTAACTTTGCAGCTTTGTTACAAGTTCTCGTGCACCCAGTTCTTATTTATTACACCTTACACTTATGTGTATTGTAGTTCATGACAAACATACAGAACTTAACGTGGGGTGAATACCACATCTTGCTTCAATTGATCTAGTTATTATGGGTTTTGAGTTATGTTCAAACTATTCCCCAAACTATCACCTGTCATTCAAACATGGTTGTTGGGCTGTATTGAATGAAAAATCATTACTAAGATCCTATCAAGGAGAACCTAAAATCTATTTCGTGTAACGTGTGTTGGTGAGAAATTGACATTTCTTCATCTTACATACGCATTACGGTAATTCAATACCTCCGTGAACCCTTCCGTGCCAACGGCACTCATGGGCTTTGAGCTGGTCGTCTTTCACAAGTCTTGCGTGTCCTTCGAATTTGTGTCCACAAATAAAGTGAATACTGACCACATAATTTGGGTACCTCGAGTAAACTAGTGTCTTCTGAAATAAACCAAAATAACTTTCACCTTCGCTGCAGATCAGTTGGGGTATGGCTTTAAAAATTGCCTCTCTGATCCTAGGGTCAATCTTCCCCGGTGACATTCTTCTCGAGTTCAACGGTTACCCTGTACACTCGTTGGACGAGATTTATACTCTAATGCAACAAACTTCCAGTGCTCTGGAATGTGAACTGTTGGTTCAAACCCCGGAATCGAATGGAAGCCTGCTTCGACCCGGTCTTCAACACAAACAGAACCCAACGGGAACCAAAGTGAGTCAGCTCGCACGCTTTGCCGTACATCATTGGCAACCCCAAAAATTCTTGCATCCCTGGTATAAATACAACTTGAGTTATTGTCAACCGGTATGAAGTTTTGGCTTGCTGGTAATAGCCATGAATAACACTAAGGGTTACTGAATTCCGCCTCGCCTCGTTTCACTCCATGTGCTCATATGAAAGCGGGTCACCAGCGGCGCATTCCTTTTTGGCGACCTAATCTAAGATAGAGATAACGTCCAGGACAAGCACATCTGTCTGCGTAGACCATTATAACCTTTGTTGGACGTTTAAGGTAATGATTACACACGCGTTTGCAATCGCAAGACTAGTCTGCGATGTACTCTGACCAACGTTTCCTTATTTGTTCGCGTCTGTTTAATGTAGAACGTTCGAGTCTTTAACACATGACTCAAGACACCTTTTCACCGGATCTTTTGTTACACGTTGCTTCTGAGGAATCATATTTTGTTTGTCAAATCGAATGCTCGTGCGTCTCTCTCCAGTAGTTTAGTAGAAGTTTTACCTTCACGCTCCACCACACATGCACGATTTTCCTTTTCAGCTCATCTACGGAATGAGAAAGTCTGGTTCAAATCCATCAATAAATTTATCAGCTATAAACCGTGTACCATAGGCAAATTGGTTCCAACTGCTATAGTTTCGATCACCGGGAAACGGGACAGTGTAGGACATACAGCCCCATGCCTTGGAGGCGATGGCTTGTTCGATTAGTTCGGGAATCGGGTAGCTACGCACTGAAGACGATATCTTTGATGCGTGAGCGCCATTGATTGCGCGATCGGACCATTTCTTTCAATGTCATCAACCATTGGTGAGATGATTCCGATAGCCTCCATCCAGGGAGGCGGCAGTTGCCAGGTCATACACTGTCCAGCTGTCGGTCGCTTCTAGTCACCACAGGACTGTGAAAAAGAGCTCTGTGAGGTGGACGTCTTCTGATATGTGGAATACATGTCCTAATCTGCATAACCTATGAATTGTGAGTAATTCACTTATCACGCGATGGTTCCTCCTTTTTAACACTGTCTGGCAGACCTCAGCATTGCTAATCCACCAGACCTCATCAACGCTTCGGCGACACATATTGTCAAACATGGATGTCTCCCGTATGTCATCCGCGCTTGGAGGTTATGATTCTACTTAATTGCCGTGCGATCATGCATGGTTCTCAACAGCCGCAGTGCTGTACGTAATTCACGATGGCCCACAATTTTCTTGGAAATCTACTACAACGTATCAGCTGCGGTGTAACCGGTACATATTCCGGGATCCCTGTGCGAACAACTGATTTCTGTACCAACCAACGATAACGACGATTCGCACGCTATCATCCCGTGGACCCGAACGAACAAGATCTTCGGTCGTTTCGAAAGCGGAACATCACCGAGTTTCAGCTGCAATTGTGGCGACCATAATCCTGACCTTGAAGCATATCTGGTTGAAGTCTAGGATGGTTTTATGCATCCAAATGAGGGCTCCCGGCCTGGGCCAGTTCGAAGGGTAATGGTTGTCTAAGACACTGTACGACGTTTGCAAAATTGCTGCCTGTTTCGCTGCTGGTTATCAGGAGGGCTCCCGTGTATGAGTAAAGAAAGGTATCCTGAAGAATATCTGATCAGTTGCGAGAATTCATAGCTTTTTGCCATTATGTGCTGTGAATTGAATGTGGTTTCTGAAGATATCATGGAGGAGTGTGGTTATGCCTGGAATTGATCCCGTTGGATCAAAGGTGTCTATCAAGACTACCGAGTGCATCAAAACAGTCCAAAATGCCTGAAAACCAATGGCACATGCCACAAGGAGCGGCTTCTTGGGTCGAACTCTGTATCTGACAAGCTGGTTTTGTTCCCCCGAAGAATCAGTTATGCGAAAAATCTCAAGAGAGCCTTCAGCGTTTTACTGCATTGTTCGGTGCCAATGTTATTGGAGCCGACCTCTGGGCGGAAGACATAAATTCAAAATCCCAGTAACGAGAGATGGTGGTTCTTCCCCCCGTTTCGGTGACAAGAGATATGCTGACCACTTTTATTACTATTGTTACAGCCAAACAGTATCTTCGAGTGACGCGTTTCACCAGAACCTCCAAGAAGGCGTAACAAAGTCAGAGCTGGATTTCTGTGAGGTACTATTAATATAAAACATAAATTCACAAATAAACGTAAATAAAATAAATACCAAACCAATGGACTTTACGGCAGTACTGCTCTGAAAATGTGAAGCCTCTCAATCCAACTGCACTGCCCTCGATATCAGAATAAAACCAAGTTGTTCTTGAGGCACGACTGTTCTGATCCCTGCTTGACATACTAACAGTAACCTCTCATTGTAGGTTTTGTATAAATCACTGGTTAGTAAAGATCGCACTGCAAGTTTTAGGGGATCCGTGAACTAATCCGCGAGCCCTGCGCTTGGTAGGAAATGCCTTTACCTGGGTTGCTCACTCAGAACACAAAATGATTTTTAGTGGCTTCTTTGCCTGCATCAGTTGCCGTGACTGGCGCTTATTGAAGATCTGAAAGGTCAAAGTTGATTGGAAGCACAGATTAGAAAAACGGTTGGCGTCAGTTTCGTTTCTCATGGCGTGCATAGATGCACGCAGGATCATTTGTCCTTGGCTCAGTCTAACCATGTAGATAGGAACTGAACCGACCCCGCCAACTGCGGCTCAGGTGACCGAAATCTACGGAGTTTGACTGATCTTCTTGGTAGTGAAGCAATTGCACAACCAGTTAGTTTCTCCCGACCACTTTCGACTGTCTACCCGCGCCGTTGGGTTGAGACCACGTGTTTTCAGTCAATGAATTATTGATTAGCCACCTGTCATATTTATGCCGCTGAATAGGGGATCATTTTTCAATCTTGAAACCATCAACCCCAGACCACCGGGTTGGTCAATTTTCTACGTTACTTAATAGGTGTGATTTGTGTGTGTGTGAACATATGGCTGTCTAAATCTTATCCAACAGCTAAGGTGATTTTTTCGGAAATAGGTGCGTAGAAAAGGTCTAAATCGTTTGATTTTATGGTTATTTCGCTAGTGTATTGAATTGACGGAAAGTGTGCAATATTTGGTGCGAAATCGATGTCCAAATGCACACCCTATGTTTAGTTGCCAAGTGAAAGACATCTAGTTGGAATGTATCTTATGAAGGATTTTCCACACGATATCTTTTGAAGCAACCAGAGTCCAATCGGTACTACACCACGCTTAGACTTGGTTTCAGTCGAATCAAGCCAAGTTGCAATCAAACTCTGCTGTACTCTGTTGAGTAAGTGTCATTAGATATGCGTGGTCGAACGATTTGCGGAAGGATTTAGCAGAGAAAGTATGTGGATAATAAGCAATCAGCAGGTAGAAAAACGCTAACGGCTTTTGAAGGGTTAGAGAAGAAACAGAAGGGCAGACAGTTGGATTGGGATCACAGATGACAGAATGGATAACACTACTTCGGTCAAAAGTCGTTGAGCTTGCTGTGATTCCACACATTCGAAAATAAGGCTGGCTAGTCCTCCGATCCACTCGATGCATGATATAAGACTTGAAGCTGGGCGAATGGTCGTGAATAGTGACAAACAAAATGGGAAAATCACAAAACTGCAGCAGTTTGGATAAAGGGCTGCAGGGAATTTCCTAGCTGCACAGGTTGCCGTAATGGAAGTGGTTTCCGGATCAATACTGAATGCAGTATCGTTTTTGTTACGTTTTGGTGAACTCTTTTCACCTACATATTTCATGTTACATGATGCTGGTTGGTGGCGATTGGATGCCGGTGTTAGCCATAAGTGGAATGATCTTATGGAGTGCCTGTTTGCACAGACCTGNGGATCAAAGGTGTCTATCAAGACTACCGAGTGCATCAAAACAGTCCAAAATGCCTGAAAACCAATGGCACATGCCACAAGGAGCGGCTTCTTGGGTCGAACTCTGTATCTGACAAGCTGGTTTTGTTCCCCCGAAGAATCAGTTATGCGAAAAATCTCAAGAGAGCCTTCAGCGTTTTACTGCATTGTTCGGTGCCAATGTTATTGGAGCCGACCTCTGGGCGGAAGACATAAATTCAAAATCCCAGTAACGAGAGATGGTGGTTCTTCCCCCCTCCTCGGTGACAAGAGATATGAGTCGCGTGTCTTGTTTGGTTCGACTTGTGTAAGAAAGAAATCTACTGGAACCACCAACGTTGATATGCAAGGAGTGAATAAGGAAAACTGAAGTAACGAGAAGTTATTCACAGAACTCCATGTCATATGGAGAGCCCCCTTGTACCAAACTCGGAGCTTTTGCGACAGGATGAGAGGATGTATTGTCATTAAGTTGACGTTATATACAGCACAATGCGCAAAATAACATGTTCGGCCGCTGACCACTTTTATTACTATTGTTACAGCCAAACAGTATCTTCGAGTGACGCGTTTCACCAGAACCTCCAAGAAGGCGTAACAAAGTCAGAGCTGGATTTCTGTGAGGTACTATTAATATAAAACATAAATTCACAAATAAACGTAAATAAAATAAATACCAAACCAATGGACTTTACGGCAGTACTGCTCTGAAAATGTGAAGCCTCTCAATCCAACTGCACTGCCCTCGATATCAGAATAAAACCAAGTTGTTCTTGAGGCACGACTGTTCTGATCCCTGCTTGACATACTAACAGTAACCTCTCATTGTAGGTTTTGTATAAATCACTGGTTAGTAAAGATCGCACTGCAAGTT